GCCACTAAAACCATGTTTGGTGCACACACCTATAATCCCAGCGCTGGGGAGGCTGAAACAGGAGGATCACTATGAGTCTGAGGTGCATAGTGAGACCAAATACATCAATAAATAAAAGATTAAAATTATAGTTAAATAGATTTCTATGGAACAAACCTGGGAATTGAATGATTTATAACACTGGACTAATAAACTGATTAATAGGTGGGCATGATATATTTAGGAGAAAGATTGAAAATTATATATATATTATATATATATATAATATATATATTATAATATATATATTATAATATATATATATATGCAAAAGCCCAGTGCCTTCAACAAAGCATCAATTACCTATTTATTAGTAAAATATCTATTTATTGATGAAGAGCCTGTCTTGGTTACATTTCCTGTTGCTGAGACAAAATACCTGACACTCAAAGTTAAAGGAGCAATGGTTTATTTGGTTCACAGATTGTAGAGGTTTCAGTTCATCCTCTTCTGGCTCTAGGGGAGGGTGGCATGGTGAGAGGCATCAGGAGAGAAACAGTCATGCTGAGTGGAAGGCGGGAGGGCAGCTGAGCAGCAGTGAAGCGGCAGCCCTTGCTTTCCCTTGACCTACCCAGGGCACTTGCTCTTTGGGTAGTGCCACCCACACCCAGGTGAGCCTTCCCATTATCCACACCCAGCTGCACCACACCCATTAGTGGATAAATTCAGTAACACGCATCCTTATTCCTAGCGGCACGTACCCTAGATCCAGCCACTTCTGACCCACCCGTGGTGAAATGAGACTGGGGGTATTTAGACACAAGCCATAATACATCCTGATCACAAATTCCCGTAAGATTAATGTGCTATGCCTTAATTATAAATAATTCATATAAGAACACATTCCAATACTAGAGTCCTGCTTGCTCAAGAAATTAATATATATTTGCTTTAGTTGTGGAAATATAATTTTCTTACTAACAAAGGAAGAAAAATTATATCAAACTAACAGTGACTTGGTAATGCAAATCTGTATTGACTGCTAAAGAGCAAAGGTCTGATATCCCCCCCCCCACGCTTTTGGTTAAATGTATATTCTTTATGTGCTACGATAGATTTCATGCATATATTCAATACACACATGAATATTTCCTGGTACAGTGGTACTTGCCTGTAATTCCAGCTACTCAGGAGGCTGAGGCAGAAGAATTACAAGTATGGGGCCAGCCTGGGCAACTTAGCAAGACTCTGGCTCAAAATAAAAAATAAAAGGGGCTTGGGATACAGCTCAGTGGTAGACAGTCCCTGGATTTGGTCCCCAGTATTGCAACAATGAACAAATAAGAATATCCTGAAAAATATATTCTAGAAGTGAACTTCTGGTCGTTTTAGTTTAGTCAGTACCCTAGGAAATAACTAACACACTTCCTGTGGGCAAATAAAATTATGTTTAAAATATACTAATAATAGATTTTACTTTTTTATAGCTTTTATTGTAAACATTTTACCATTGTGTTTGACTTTTTGCATATATACAAAATGTGGCTTTTTGTTCACTATGTTCTTTTCTACCTATAATAGTATTTGGAGGGCAAACTCTGGCTCTATGAAATAGTATTTTCCCCCCTAATTCCAACATGCTATATATAACAGAGTTGGGGTGCTTTTTGTGGTGCTGGGGATTGAACCCAGCCCTGTCATCAAGGCAAGCACACTGCCGCTAAGCCGCATCCCTTGTCTAAGAGGTATTTTTTAAACAAATCACTTCCTGAACCACTGCCAACAGATTAGAGGTATGTGCCTAGCTGGCTTTCATTCTCCACGATGATCCAGGATTCATAGAGATAAATAGTGGCACAGGGAGGGAACCCAGAAAGGTTTATCTGAAAGCATTGTATAGGCCACCAAATACTTTTCAAAAATGTTTGGAGAAATACATTTTATTTCTTTGGCCAAAGTATTACAAACAGTTAAATTAGGTAAAAATATTGCAGGCTAGGCCCTCAAAGGGAGACAGTACAGAGATGAGAACACATGACAACTGTGGCAGGAGGCACATCTGTTGGAAGCCAGGGCTCAAATGGCCAGGCCTATACACCACCCCAGGGTGTAAGATAATTGGTATCACCTGATCCAATCAAGTCTGGACAGACATCTGTCACCCAGGAATGTGCTCAGGACCCCCAACCCATCCCTTCCTAAAAAGGTCTTTATTCTCTGTACACTTGCTATGTGACTTACTTTTCCATTGGATCAATATTACCTAACCAGTTATACTTATAAGTTATTAGTTGATCATAGTTTTGACCCACTTGATGATTTTGCTCTATAAAACTTCCTTTGAGAAGTGGGCATGTTGGCAGCTTGCACCTTTAGGTCCCCTGCTGTCTCTCAGAAGCTTTCTGTCTGTAGAAAGATTTTCTGCTCTTAATGTCCATTGTTCCTTAGGCTTTGTTCTTTGTTTTTGGGGAATATGAACTTGGCATATCTGACATTTAGTAGGTTGAGAATTACATTTATTTCCCTATATCAAAAGGACTGAAACAATCGCAATCTCTGGCTCTCTTTAAACCGTAAAGAAACTTTTAGTACTGGATTTGCCATTTAGAAATATACATCCCAGTTTTTTTTTGTTAATGTTTCAATTTTTATTTTTATTTTTTTGCCATAGTTTTATTGATAAACAAATAGCATGAGACAGTTTCAAATCAAATTGGTAGGACAGTTTCAATAATTAACACACTGCATACATTCTTCTTAGTGGTTAATTGCTGTGCAAGATGCAGACTTGATATCCTGTTTACAAACACCATCACAAGAAATCATTCTAGTCATTAACAGAAAGTAACTATATATCCCAATCACTTTGAATACACAGATACAAAATGGACATTCATCTGTATACCCTTCTTTTGTTAAGTTCCATTATTTGAATATTATAGGTGTGTAAACTCAGCAAAATATTCTAAAAGAGTCCAGTAGCCCATAATACTATTGGGTCTTCTGCT